TTTCTACCTTTGTGTCTGTCTCTCTTACATCTTTGAAACATTCTCAACTTTTTTCACCTTGATGTTCCTCCTCCCCTCTGTGAAGCCTGAAGTCAACTAAAGGGCTAATGATAGCTATCAAAACGCCTGCCATTTGATATAAATAAAAAAATAAATTTTTGATAAGCAGTAACTGGGACGAAGTAAAACGTAACTGCCGATTTCCATGATCGAACTATTCTTACCCTTTTACAATGAGTTAGCAAAAAAGCTCGCAATCTTTATAAACGAGAGTGTACGTGGTGTTAATTATTTTGTTAATATATATTTAATTAAATTCCTTCAAAAAAGGTAAATAAAGTGAAACAGTTTCAATTGTAAATTACGCCCACAGCATGTCTGTTTTGTTCAACCACGGAGTTTGTCCAGACCGTGTACTGAGTTTGATTTCTTCAGTGATTACATTTGAATTCGGCACCCATACAATGTGTGAACGTGTGTGTGCGTGTGTGTGTGAAGATTTCGCGTAAACATTGGACATAAACACATAAACTATCTCCGCATCTAGATGCCACAGTTTGGACTTACAGGTGCGATGGTAACACGCAAGAGTCCATTCCACGTTTCTTACCTCCTTTTCAGCCTCCTTTGGCTTATTTCTTCTGGAAAACTTCTGTTCCCTGAGCGTTGCCTTCAATTCTCACGGAGTTCAGCCAGCTCAGTTATACAAAGCTCTGGAAACAGTGATGATGGTTTTGGAATTATGGTCCAACGATCGCCCGATGGGGCACAAGTGGGCAATTGGTTTGAACCAGAAAGGGAGTACCTTGTCACGCTGAAAAATGAACTCCCAATGGTGACCTTTGATGATTTCATATTCTGGCTCTCACCTGCAGAACCACCTATGATGGGACGGCCCGATGAAATGAATGTCAGTTAATCTTTGGTTAACTATATATACCAAAAACATTTTTTTAATGCGGTGGCATATTTCTGGAGGTGTTTTTTTACGGAATTTTAATATCTTTACCACTTTTTTTGGTGGCCTATTTTTTGGTAAATCAGATATCAGAATTGTATTTCATTGATTCCCTGATCACTCAAAGACTTCATTATACTCAAATTGATTGGCCTACACAGTGGTAAGTTGATTTAATTTAGAAAAAAAGCAGGAACCATATTGACAGAGTTCCAGTGAACCTTTATTTATTTCAAATGGCAGGCTTTGTGATATTTATCATTAGCCCTTAAACTTTGACTTCAGCTTCCCCCAAGGGTGGGGGGGGGGGGGANAGGGGGGGGGGGGGGGGGTACATTTATAGCAGTTCATTAGCCGTCTTCTTGTTTCCCAGTATCATTGTGTTTCCGTCGTTGTCTTTAGGGCTGGACATCGAATCAGGTGGGTCTTCTCCATTTCTTCTGTAGGTTACATAAGGGGCATGTGAAGACGTTTTGCCAAGCAATAGTGTCCGGTACGTAGTCTAAACTCAGCAACGGAACCTTGCGTGTAATGATTACTGCCTATATCTGTGAGGTCGAAAGTCTGTATTATTTCGAGTGAAGTGTTCCAAGAAAGGATGGCTTCAAGATAATGAATAATCGAACAACTGGATTTCCAATACTTCAAGCTAAAAGATCAATATTCGCGAATTTTATATGCCAAACGTAGGATTGAAGCATGGAATCCGGTGAAGGTGCTAATATATTTATTTCAAATGGCAGTTCCAGAGCGTTGATGTTTAGCGTGTCTTCAATTTCCTTTCCAGCTATGTTTGTGTCCTTGTAGCCCCATCTGGTGGAATGGGCGTTGAAGTCTCCTAATACTATGGTTTTGTGCGAGATGTTCAGAAAGTCAAAGTTGGACAATTCTGGGTTGGATTATAGACTGCATATACCTTGAAGTGGTTTTGACATTTCCAAACATTTAATTTGATTATTTCACATATGTCTTGTGTCGAGCCCATACTCTTGATTAGATCGTAGTGTGAGGTGAGGCCTACTTTTACTCCAATTAGAATTCCACTTGCAACTTGCCGGTATTTAGGTAGAAGGTACAGGGTGTAACCTGGGAATTGGTAGTACTTCAGTTTGTCATCCGAAATGTTTGCTTCTATAATTGTGAAAATGTCTACATCATAGGTTTGTAGGATTTTCTGTACTTGGATCTTTTTGTCCGGTGACATTCCTCCAGCAATCCACTGGAGGATCTGAAGGCGTTGTGATTCGCCCTGACGAGAGCGATTTTTCTTATAGCCTTTTTTCAAGCTAATCATAATAAATNTGGATTATAGACTGCATATACCTTGAAGTGGTTTTGACATTTCCAAACATTTAATTTGATTATTTCACATATGTCTTGTGTCGAGCCCATACTCTTGATTAGATCGTAGTGTGAGGTGAGGCCTACTTTTACTCCAATTAGAATTCCACTTGCAACTTGCCGGTATTTAGGTAGAAGGTACAGGGTGTAACCTGGGAATTGGTAGTACTTCAGTTTGTCATCCGAAATGTTTGCTTCTATAATTGTGAAAATGTCTACATCATAGGTTTGTAGGATTTTCTGTACTTGGATCTTTTTGTCCGGTGACATTCCTCCAGCAATCCACTGGAGGATCTGAAGGCGTTGTGATTCGCCCTGACGAGAGCGATTTTTCTTATAGCCTTTTTTCAAGCTAATCATAATAAATAGAAGTCGAAATGCCGAGTGATAGACTTTTTGCCGTAAGAAGATACGTTGTTCAGGGTGCACCACGTGGAGGTAAGTCTATCGCGCACCCCATATATTGGTCAATAGAGCTCTGAGCGACCTATTGTTCACTCAATGATCCTGACGCATAAATAGGCCATGATCAGGGAAAAGAAAAGCTTGCGATTAAATCAATTATAAATCACAGAGACAGATCCATTAGAAGGCGTCTTACGTTTTAGTTCTGTAACTGCTTAATAGTTCACTAGAAATTAAAATCGTTTTATCTTGCAGACGACCAGTGATTGTAATCGATCGCCAAATAAATGTGTCGGAACCTGGGTCCATACTCCTCTTAGATTGGACGGACGTAAATTGCATCACAATCAACGTCGAACTCGTTACGTTGGTCACGTCATGACCCGCAATCGACCTGGATGTCGGGGTTTGGTTGTTAAACGCTATTCTGCAGGCAGTGTTCCCCGACAAGTTGGAAAAGTTTCATTGCTTTGGAGAAGTCCCGATTCAAGCCGACACAACTGTGTCGTTATTCATGCTATTGTTCGCACTCAAACGTCCATTTTGAAAGAAGTTGGTATGTTGCACCTTAGTAGCCTTTACAACATCTTCATTTGAAACCACTCAGTTTATACTTTTAAAAACCTACAGGTAACCAAATTACACAGGGCAGAAAGCATGCAGTTTAAACAATATTAAGGAAATAAATTTAAAATAAATTAGTTTGCATAGTGATGAGCCTTCATACCCATACGCGGGGATAGAAATCCAACGATGGATAACCCACTTTAAGAGGAATGTGGATTATGTCCTTTGGTGAAGCGTAAAGAAAGTGTACAGTTGAGTTTCTTAACAATTACTTTGCATTTTTTGGGGAGGAAATTAAATTTCATTAATAATTCTGTCCACCCATTTTACTCTAATTTGTTTATGGCTGGGGCGAAAAACTAGAGATAACTCTTTACCATAAAATCAATATCAGTAGTACCGATTAATATTATCAAATAAATTAGTGCATTATGGTATTATAAACTAGCGCGAAAAGCCAGAAAAAGAATGATACTGTATATGAATTCATTAAAAAATAAATAGTAAAGGGAAAGTGATTTGTTTCATTTTCCAAATTCTAGGTGGCCTCGTGAAGACAATATGCCCAACTGAGATGCGACCTTTCGAACCAGTCATTTCCGGAGTTCGCGAAAGTTCTAGTGATCAAGTTGACAGTCAAAACACCTTACCAAAAAGATCCCACGTTGATCCAATAGAATCGCAGTCTCGAGATACTATTCAACCAAAGGATTGCTGTGCATGCGGTACAGCCACTTATAGACTCACCTTCCAAGGTCTTTGGAACCGTAGCACACATCCACTGGACTGGCCTTCAAAAAATCCAAATCTCCTCCATTGGACGAATTTAATTGGTGCGAGTCATGCCCCAAGCTTTCAGATATACTCCTTGGGACAGACAGCTAGTGCTGGTGTTCAATCAGTCTGCGCCTATGGTGATACAACTGTGCTTCGTGAGGCTCTTTCATTGGCTGCTGCTAAACCAGAAGGTGATACAGGAGTTCCTACAGGCAGTCAAACGGCGTCAACAGAGGTGAGTCCACTCAGGGCCCTTATTTCCACTCCTGGAATGTGGGGAGAAGAGGCACTGATGGAACAACGCACAACCCTCTTTTCTGTGAACAGAACTCACCCACTCTTCTCAATGCTAACAATGCTAGGCCCCAGTCCTGATTGGTGCACAGGAATATCTGGCCAATCATTGTGCAAAGCTGATTGCACCTGGGTGAAGAATATGACGCTATATTTGCGTCCATGGGATGCTGGTATTCGGGAGGGAAATACCTACTTGCCAAAGGAATCGGATAGGAAGGAAATTCCCGATCCAATTAGATATATTGACGACACCTGGATGCCAGGCAATCCATTCAGGGAGAAAAACACGGTTGCAAGAGTTCATATTGAGAGAATTCTACCGAAAAATGACTGGGAGTGCACTAACAAGGATGCGGATGGCGTACAACTCTTTATAATGGGCGGCGGAATTCGGGTTTCCGGAAAGACGACCAAAGAAATGAGGGACAAAATGGCTGATAAAAAGCACACAGCGTCTGCAACACAACAGGTATGCAAGTGATTATTGCCACCCAAATCAGGGTTTGGAAGGAGGTACTCATTTTGATTTCAATTTAATTAGTGAAGCAATAAGTGAGGTTTCTTTACGAAAATGAAACATCGAAATGACAGATATTTTTACAGATCATGTAGCGAATACATCACAAATAAGATCTTCCTAAATATTTATATCGAATGACAGGCGTTTTAATTGCTATCATTAGCCCTTTAGTGGACTTTAGGCTTCACAGAGAGGGGAAGGAACATCGAAGGGAAAAAGTCGAGAGGGGGGGGGGACAGAAGAGTGTTTTAAATATGTAAAAGAGACAAACACAAAGGTATAAAAAAGGTGTGGCGAGTAATGTGGAAGTAGTCAAATATGACATACAGCGGGGTCATGGTAGTTTAAAGTCAACTGCCAGTTAATAGACTTTTTTGCCGTATAAGTATACGTTGCCCAGGGTGCACCACATGGAGGTAAGTCTATTGCGCACCCCAGCTCCCTAAATATAAACAATCCTATCAAGCAATATTCCCTGGTGTGAGACTGCTCTCGAAACTAGCTAATCAACCTCAGTAGTATCGAGGAGACGAAGGATTTGAAAGAGCGTTTGTTACATCTTTTTTTAGTTATGAAAATACAATTTTGGCAAAGTTGACCTTGTAGCGACTTCTGATTGTTGGTTGGCAGATTGGCCCCTGAACTCGCATTCTATGCAATCAGTAGCCCAGTCTCAAATTTCAGACTTTTTGAGCCCACATTAGATCACTTTGACCGGGAATTGGTATTGCCTTGTACTCAACAGTCTTTGTGTAGAGTTATTTAAATCTACCCAGGCTTTTGTACAGCATCTATGACCGTTTAATAGACTTTTTTGCCGTATGAGTATACGTTGCCCAGGGTGCACCACGTGGAGGTTAATATTAAGACATTAAACGATGTTTTTCAAATCCAATTAACTTACCATTAAGGTACTTAGCGAGGCCAAAAAATTTTACCCTTTAATTTAAATTAGTGACTAATTGTTTGCTACCTACTAGAGTTGAAAATCATGAAAAAAAAGAACTTTCTTTTGTCATAAAGCCAAATCTAACTATAAATACTTCAAAGCCACTTCGACAGGTCAAACGAAGTTTTTATTCTGTTAGAAAATTATTTATTATTATTTATTATTATTATTATTTATTATTATTATTATATGGGAGCGTAGTTTAGTAACTGATTGAAAGAATGACCAGAGTTCATGTATACAATTATTTTTCATAACCCAAGTGATGACAAAGGACCAAGTCTCACACGCGGGAGCTCAGGTTATAAAATTCAACTTTTTTTTTTTAACTCGGATTATTGAGCGCGTACTTGTAGATGTTATCAGTGATTTTTGACTGCTCAGTCTTTCCTAATCAAATTATTTCTTTTTTCTCATCGCGTAAGCAGGAAGCATGCAGCTTATATGATCTCGCCGCTGTATTACTGAGACCCTTTATGCGATCCAATTTCTGATTTTCGTGTCCTCCCATCTCCCCATATTTAGATAGTGACCGGTAAAGGTCGTGGCAAGGGTTCCAAATCAGTCGGTTTCGGTGGTCCGGGATCTAGTGGAACACTCGGAACAAACAATCCCCTGTCGGATCCAAGTCTAGCTCAAATGGCGACCTTCCTTTGCATTACCAGCGAGTGGTCAGCCTGGTCGCAGTGCTCGGTCACCTGTGGTGTGGGTACCAAAACTCGAACTCGAGAACTCATTGCCAATAAGAAGCCTGAATTGTGTCAACATTTGCCCCTTGTCATGGAAGAGGTATGTCATTTTATCGAGTTTTGTCAAATTAATTTTATCATGAAACTAAGTCAGGCCTTATTTTTAATCAGAGAGATGAGTAATTGGCACAATGGAGTGATGTGATCGAAGATTAGCAGCTCTTCACCTGAACACTTTATTTATTAGGTTGGCAACTAAGTCATTGCCGATTTCA